CAGGAACGTCAACCAGATTGGCACTGAAATCACTGCAGATGATCCGAGGGTGGGCATGTCCCAAAGATGGGAACATTATTATAGGGGATCTAGGGAAAGTACCAAGATTAACTTCCAAACCCAACTCCCATCTCAGAAGGGAACAGCTTCTGCCCAGGAAGTTCCCAAGACCATCAAGGTGCACAACACCTGTGTCAGATGCAGTCCTGGTGGGGCTTTGGCTTGACGTATCAACAAGATGCACCTCATCATAAAGCTACCTCAGCAGATCTCGTATTCCAGCTCTAAAGAGCCAGTGGTTTGACCAGAATTCTGGCAGCTCCTGCCATTGCTACTGGGGAAGCCCAAATGAATGAACTCTTGCAATTTTCCTCTGGGGCCCAAGCCTCTGACTACAACGGTGTTGGCTTAATTCTGGATCATGCCCTTACACTGAGCATGAAAATTAGACTGTTTTACCCCGGGTATGGCCTCTGATTATGCTACATCATGACCACCGCCCCTGTTCCGTTTCTCTGCTGCAGCCCACTGTGCACCAGGCACATCAGCTGGCTGTGGAGGGAAGGGGCCGAGAAGGAACGAGCCAAAGAGCAAGACACAGGCGACTAACATGACCCAAAGGTCACTCAACATAATAGACATTTTTAACTGGAAAGAATTGTAGTGGTCATCTGGGTCTCTCAATCACAGCCTCATTGGGGCCACAGATCTCTTGGGTAATCATATGAAAGTGCTTGAACCCTTGCTCCAGAAAAATACACGTCCCCAAATTTTGGGTTGAACTGTAGGGTGTTTCACAACTTCCTGGTACCCATCCGTCTAGACGAAGCCTTTTATTTTCAGGTGACAATATGGAGACCCCAAGGAGGTGCAGGGTTCTTGCCCAAGGTTACACAGGGGAGATAACCCAATTCAAATTCAGCTCACCTGATTCCCAATATAGGCCCTGTCAGCCAATACTGTGAAGTTTCCACTCTCTGTTGAGCCCTCTTTTGAGAATGACGGAAAGTTAGTAAGTAAATAGAACCCCCCACTCATAAAAGGAAACTAAGATCAATTAGTAAGCCATATTCCTGCCATAGATTCCTCTTTGGAAAGTAAAAGCTAATACCGTCCATTAATTCAGTAGGCAGTTAATGAGCACCTATGAGCATCTCCCCCAAATCTCTAACCATTGGGAGATTAATTATTTATTGAAAATCAGAACTCTTTATAATCTAAAGCCTGAAGAGATTTTTCAGTCTCAAGCCTCAAAGTGATTTTTTTGTGGCTTTGTTCAAGTGCTGGGAGCCCCACCCTGAAACGGTTGAGGCAGAGGTGCTTGGTAGTTCATCTTCAGTGCAAAGGAGGTGTCATGTTAACAAAGGAGACCAGAATCCGAACCGAAGGGGACCTACATACGTTCTACTCCTACTATTTCTACTACTATTTCGGCTATTCAACAAGGCAGAAAAGTTCCCAATTTGGGGGACGTTCCCCAACTCAGTGACTCAGATCATACATTTTATTAGTAGCAGGAAGAGAACCAGATTCCAATTTCATCTTACTGGAAAGAAGCAGGAAGCACTTCTGACTGATATTTAGCTTCCCGGTTGGCTGCCAAGAGGCAGCTTTTTGTCACAGGAGGAGCCTAGTTGTGAAGGCTGGAGACTTGCCCTGAATCTGAACTTCTCTACTGACTGTCGTGTGACCTCAGGCAAAGCTCTTTACGTCTTTGAGCCTTGGTTTTCTCATCTGAAAAATGAGAATTTTCTCAGCTTTATTTTCGCTCAGTGTTCCGATGACGATGTACTTGTTGACTCAACAGAAATGCCTCCCGTCCCTGGCTTCTATAGTCTGTTCTTTCTTGGTAGCAAATACTTCATCCTGCATCAGGGCCTGATCAGGAGGCATAAAGCACACAATAATTTGAAGAGGGGGGAGTGCAATATAAGGAATTATTCAACTTTTTTTAAGATTTTATTTATTTATTTGACAGAGAGAGAATGAGAGAGAGAGCACATGAGAGGGGGGAGGGTCAGAGGGAGAAGCAGACTCCCCGCCGAGCAGGGAGCCCGATGCGGGACTCGATCCAGGGACTCCGGGATCATGACCTGAGCCGAAGGCAATTGCTTAACCAACTGAGCCACCCAGGCGCCCAGGAATTATTCAACTTTGATAGGAGTAACTGTATAGATATAAAGAGAACCCCAGGGGCGCCTGGGTGGCTCAGTTGGTTGGGCGACTGCCTTCGGCTCAGGTCGTGATCCCGGAGTCCCTGGATCGAGTCCCGCATCGGGCTCCCTGCTCGGCGGGGAGTCTGCTTCTCCCTCTGACCCTCCCCCCTCTCATGTGCTCTCTCTCATTCTCTCTCTCACAAATAAATAAATAAGATCTTTAAAATAAAAAAAATAAATAAATAAAAAATAAAGAGAACCCCGAAGGGTACCTAAGGCTGAGGGAGAAGACACAAGGAAGAACGAACTTGGACGGGGTCCCCGTCCGTGGCTGGGGCTGAGACTTCACTGGATAAGTTGTGGTCATAGCCCACTGGTTGGTGGAGAAGTTGGCTGGGTTTCCTGGACCAGAGCTGGTCCACAGTTGCTAGGCGGTGGCAAACAGCCCTCTGGGCGCTGGTGAAATGAGACTGTTGGGCGGGTGTGCACAGTCAGAGTGCCACGGCCACTGCGAACCCTCGAGCCCATGGTGGTCCGTGTGGAAGGCCATGATGAAGGCCAGAGTGTGAGGTCACCAGGCCACCGTGCGCTCTGGGCATGCAGCTGAGACAGAGCACCACGCAGTGTCCCCACTGACGGACTCTGCAGCAGGAGGAGGTCCAAAACCAGGAAGAGAAACCCCCTTCTTCCTGCGGGGTCCCACCAGTAAACGGCTTCATGTCCTGCTTGCTGTAAAGCAGTGCTTCCAGGGTTCTGTCCATTAGCTCCGAGCAGAGACTAACAGGTTACTTTGCAGCTGAGAGGCAATGATATGATAACCGGTATAACAGGTGATCAAAAATGTTTGAATTAAATTAGGAAAAGCCACACAATCTGTCAGTAACTCCCTCAACCCCTGTTTATTTCCCTTTCTTTCAGTCCCATAAATTTTACCACCAGTAAATGTCAAATCCCTCTAACTTCTTTTGTAATTTACTCCCTCGAAGCTCATTTCCCTCTGAGGTGTTCCATTTTGTTTTGTTTTCTTTTTTTTTTTTAAGATTTTATTTATTTATTTGAGAGAGAGAGAGCACATGAGAGGGGGGAGGGTCAGAGGGACAAGCAGGCTCCCCGCAGAGCAGGGAGCCCAATGCGGGACTCGATCCCGGGACTCCAGGATCATGACCTGAGCCGAAGGCAGTCGCTTAACCAACTGAGCCACCCAGGCGCCCTGTTTTGTTTTCTTAATGAGGCACGTGTCTTTCTTCTCTTGGCACACACTTAAAAGAGACTTGAGTAGAGGGGGCAGGGGGAAGGGAAAAAGAGAAAGGGCAAGAGGTGGAGGAGACCAAGGGGGAGAGAGAGAGACTCTCGTAAACAACCTGAGACTCAGTATTTCATTTTACAATTTATTTGTCCACTCAAACTTGAACTCGTTTCCCCATAGTCTCTCTGTTTCATTTCAGAGCCATCCACCTGTCCTTCCTAAACACTGTAGGAGTGTCCCCACGCACTTGACTTCAAGTGGCAGTGGAAGGAGCCAGAGCTGATCCGAAAACCCGTCCTTCTCTCTTTTAGGGAAAACACAGTGGCGACCTCAGGGCAGACTGGGTAGTCAGTCTCCTTGGACAAGTCTAAAGAGTCCAGTCTCTGACCATTTGAGAATAAAATAGGCAACAGAGCAAACATCAGACTTGGAGCATAAATACCAGCACAAATATTATTCAGAAAGTATTTGGAAAGGACTAGTAGTTTCGAGAATCAAACCAGGGAGAGCGTGGCATTGTAAAGGGCCCTACACATCCTGTCCTGTGGGAGATCCTGTTATTAGCAGGCACCGAATTTGTGTCAAGACAATGTTCTTAGGCATCAACCACCCTGTTCTTCCAAAATATTTCATTCTCTACCGAAGAATCAAATTTAATTAGTGTTCACGGTTGATTCCCCTGCAGGAATTAGCCAAACAATGAGGTGGGGATACAGCTAAGACGTCTTCCAAGGATGAAGTGGTTTTGCAAACGTAATCTGTTTACCACCCTTCAGGAGGGCTGGGAAGATCATCCCTTTATATCAGAAAAATGGCAATGGGAAAAACTAGAGGAACTTAATCTTTCCACCAAAATTTATATGTATATATATGTATGTATGTAGCTGTCTTACATATTTCTTTGCAAGTAATGGACATCCTGGGGCCAGTGGAACCTAGAATAGACGGGCAGGGAGCTACCTCAGTTTCTCCCCAAGCTCTACCTTCTTACTCCTGCATGTCCCAAGGAAATCGTGCTCTTAAATGATCAAGAGTAATACATGTGTTTAGTCCTGCGTAATGAGATTGTGGACAATCTTTATTTTCTTTCTGTTTATCTGTGTTTTCTGCAATGAGCATGTGTTGTTTGTGAAGTTAAACATATATAAAAATTTTAATGAAAAAAAAGCAACAACCCACATTTCTCTTCCATAAATCTTGGGCTCCACTACTGCTTGTCGTCTCCTCTCTAGCCAGACCCTTTGTAGCCTCTTCACTCCCCCTGTTCAGAGTAACTGCCAAAAATCAGCAGACCTCATTTTTGGAAGAGACTTTTGGAAGAGATTTCTTTCTTTCCTCTTGGACTTCTAAAAACAGACCACTTTTCCTTCTACCCCTCACCAAGCGGTGATTGATGCTGCACCTGCCTCTGATGTGACAAAACGTAAGCGATGAATCAAAGCCTTTCATGATTCTTGCACATTCTGAGGCAGGCAGAAAGCGCCAGCCAGGAGCACTGAGCCATGTGAAGATGCTCTGCAGGGCACAGTCGTGCCAACCGTGGGCACCTTGAGGATACTCACATCGCTAACCTTTGATATGTTGCTCTGCTCTTTCAGATTTTTGACAATGAAGCCAAAGACCTAGAGAGAGAAGTTTGCTTTATTGATATCGCCTGTGATGAGATTCCAGAACGTTACTACAAAGAATCTGAGGTAAGCAGTAAATGGGGTGACAGATGGAAGAGATTCACTCATTCGTTCAACAAATATTTATGAATTAAGTCCTAACCTGGGAGACTGTCATCCATCTCGGTGTTGATTCAATTTGGTCTCACATCTTGCTGGATTCTTTAATGCGAGTCTCACAGTTAAGTTTCTACTCCTCCGGGCCCTGGCTGCCACTCCATTTCCATTTAGATTTCCTGTCTCCCCCTCTCTGCCATCCTTCTGGACAGCAAAACATTCAGCAGGCTGAACCATCCAACATACCGGCCTCTGACAAACCACAGTCATCTCTGACTTCCTGTCTTGCCGGGACCTGCGTGACCTGCCTCCCCATCTGCATGCTCCGTGAGGGCCGGGGCTGGGTTTTATGTGTATCTTTATGTGTAACACAAAGAAAATGCTCGCTCCGTCCTCTGAGTGAATATTGGAACTCCAACAGCTCATCTTGACACAGAACCTTTCTCTCAAAACAGGAAGTGCCTTCGAGAGGGTTTCTCCTTTCTTTTTTTTTTTTTTTTTTCATTCTTGACTGAGAATAAATTGAAGAGCGTATCTTTCTCTATAGCTTCCACCCTACCGGGATCCATGGTGTGCCTCGGTCCAACCTTGTTATTTTATTGTTGGTGCAAGTCAGCACCGATATCCCGTTAGTACGTTATTAAGGGCTGCCAGCGAATGTGGGCGACCCCCTTGTAAATGACATCCCCGCCCCACAATGACAGTTGTTGAGCAGTAGGGCAGCCAATCACAATATGTTTGGACTCGGGGCCCCAGACTCGTCCTTGAGCCATAACACATGGACCTTGACACTCTTCTTCCAGATTCATTAAGGCTGATTTAAGACATAATAAATAAACCTGTTGAAAATGAATTCCACTGTCCTACCAACTGGGCTCCCAATGTGGTTCAGACTTTTTTCCCCCCCTTCCAGATTTTGGGATTCTAACCTGGGCTTAGCAAATGCTTAGCTGCTTACTTGCAGGCGAGTGCTCTGCAGCTGCTGTCCCTTCTTCAAAAGACTGGGAGAGGCTGATGTGAATTACTCTCGGTTTGACTCAAAGGCTGAGCGTTCTAACGTCATCCGTTTACACTGCGCTCTGCAGCCAACCGTGCTCATGAATTTTCAGAAAAACCAAGTGAAACGCTCTCTGCATAACTGAGTCTGCAGAAGAGAAGGAGAACCTTGGCCTCCCCTTGTCTCATTCTATGGAGGAGATAGTTCTGTGGGTCTGTAGCAAGTCCGCTGATACTTACGGGGCTCTGATGGTGCATCAGAGCATCATGCATCGGGTGAAGCCGCTCCCCATCACTTCCTCGACTCCTTCGGCCTGGGTGGGGGCTGCTGTCCTCCCTGAGCATCCTGACCTCTTTGGGAGCTCAGGCCTTCCAGGAAGAAAACTGAACTAATTTCAGCGCTTCCTCTTAGATTGCTTTGGTGTGATCCTGCCTGGGGCTCAGGGAGTTCCCTCCAGATTGGGTGGAAAGTCTTAGGATAAATATGGAATACGAATGACAAAATCAACAAGTCTCATTGCTAGTCAGCTGATGCCTGATTCATCTCCTTGTGCTTTGCACTCCCAAGAACCAGCCCTGGAAAGCTTCTTTTCATTTACACAGACAAGCGAGGAGCTCTTACTTCATTCTTCACAGTCATTCATTTTTCTTGGTCATAAAGTGTTCTTTTCAAGGACTCGAAGGTGAATAATCATTCATCCAATAAATATTTACTGAGTACTCACTGAGTGTCACATACAATATTAAGATGGCGACACGGCAATGAGCAGAAGAGTCAGTGGGAGTCCCTTCTTCCAGTCTGGCAGGGGAGCCAACAATAGAGAATCACCTGAGTACAGATGGACTTAAAAGTCACCAGTGCCATAAGGAAGCATGCATGATGGGGAAACTGAATTTAAGAGGATGGGATCGGGAAAGATACTCTGGAAGCAATGACATACCGAGACCCGCAGGAAGAAAAGAGCTGGGGCGTAGTGCTCCAGGTGAAGGTAATAGCATGTGTGGTGTCCATGTGTGACACTTGAGGAATCAAAAGAAGATCAACATGGCGGCAGCAGCAGAAACGAAAGGACGAATGGCACAAAGGAGGTTGGGGCCATGTTAAGACGCTTCGATCTTATTCACGTGCAGTGGAATGCCTTTGCCGAAATTAAATCATATGATCTGATTTGTGCTTGTAAAAGATTGCTCTGGGTGGAGAAGGGACTGGAAAGAAGCAAAGGGGAAGTCAGGAAATCACTGAGGTCATTGGAGTTACCTACATTATTGGTTTTTCACATTATGTGGTGGCTTGAACTGGAGGGCTGGGAACAGATGGTTTTGAGGTATATTTTGAAGATAGAATTGACAGGGATTGGTCATGGACGGGATATGAAGATGAGAGAAAAGCAGGTGTCAGGATGACCTTAAGGTTTAATGGCTTGGCCAACAGATAGACAGGGGTGAGAAGAGGAGTGGATTTCTGAGAAAGATGGATAGATTTTGTGATGCCAACGAGATATCCAAAGCAAGTAGAAATGAATCTGGAGCGTAGGTGAGAGATCTGGGATGGTGACGAATGTGGGAGTAATGGAAAACAGAAGATACTTGAAATGCCGGAGATGAATGAGAGGGAGAAAGCATAAAGTATAAGCAGGAAATGAGTTCAGGTCTGAGCATGAAGGGATGGCAGCATTTGGAGATCAGGAAGAGGATGGGGAGGCCCCACGAATCTACAAGAAACCCAGGAGAGAGTCGGAGGAAAGACAAGGAGAGTGCAAGTTTCATTCATTCACTCACCAAGAGAATGCGAGTTTCAAGAGGAAGCAAGTGATCCATTGGACAGCACTGCCATGAGGTCCAGTAAGATAAGAATGCAGGGCGCCTGGGTGGCTCAGTTGGTTAAGCGACTGCCTTCGGCTCAGGTCATGATCCTGGAGTCCCGGGATCGAGTCCCGCATCGGGCTCCCTGCT